CCCCCAGCGGGTGTCGCGGCCGATGTCGGAGACGACGGCGACTTCTGAGAAATGCCCTCACGGCTGGCGAGAATCTGGGCGGCCTGCTTCTTGGTAAGTTCGGCCTCGGCTAACTCACGTGCAGGTCGTTGCTCCTTTTCCTGGGCTTAGCCTAAGTGCTTCTTCAAGTTCACCACGGCCGGCACGGCCTGTGTGTGGCGATTGTTCACATCGCGCCAAAAGCCGTCGGCTCTCTGTAAGGACTGGAAAGCTCCCGTCGTGGTGCTGGCCTCGCTGGCCTGTGCCTGCTTCAACTTGGAAGCCTTTGAGGTGAGCGACGACCTCAACTCGGGATCCCTCGCCTGTTCCAGTGCCTGCTCCACCAGCGGCGAACCTGGGCATCCTGACGGCGGTGGTGTGCCCGCACGGCGACGAGCGTTTCGGGGCTTGGCCCCTTCAGCCGGTGGGTCCTCCGAGAAGGTGACCGTCTTGAGGATGCCACGACGTCCACCGTTGGGCCCTGAAGAGGCATCCTCCTTGTCCTTGTCCTTCGAGGGCGGAGCGACGTACAACATGACCTCACTCTTGCAACGTGCACACTGCATGTTCCTGCTGACGAGGAGGTCGTTCCATTCCGACTGGGAACAACGTTTGCAGGTGGACCACGCACGCGCCATTGCAGCAACCTCGGTTTTCGTCAGCGCTCTAGCTGAGAGTGTCCAAAAGGGGGGGACAGCAAACTCAGGGCTGCGTTGTCCCTCGAGTTCCCAGGGGAAGGGACCGAGGCGTTGGGCCCCGCCAAAATGGATGGAGCCCAAAAGGCAGCTTGAGGAGAGAGTGAGGAAGGGAGAAGGAAGGGAGGGATGGAGGGAGGGAGGAGGGAGGGGAGGAGGGAGGGAGGAGGTAGGCGGGGCCAGGCCCGGACAAACCAAGGGACCTCTTGTCCGTTATCGAGCCAAGCTCTGGGAGGCGGTCCTGGCCCCCCTTGCCCAAGGGCAGGAGGGATCGGGCGCCCTGGCGAGAGAAGGATCCCTGGGCAGATGGTGAGGACATCTCGGGCGGGAAAACCACGCTGGAGCAAATATGATTGGCTGCGCGCGCAAGGGGGTAGGGGTTGGGGGAAGGTTTCTTAGGAGGAGGATGCTTGTTAGAAGGCGCCGGCCCTACATCTATAGATCAGGCCCGCGCCTTCTAAGAAGCAACGGTGCTGGTAAGAAGCCTTCCCCCCTCCCACTACCCCCATTTCCGCGCGGCTGATCTGAGAAAGCTTCGAGCGAGATCGCGGCGAGCAGGGAAGGACGAAGGCTGGGGAACGAGAGGGGGAGCAAGGATGTCTTGCATCCTCGGGAGACCTTGTCTGTCCCGTCGCGGCCCTATCCGCGTCGAACCCGTGTCGAATCCATGTCGGTTTCGTCGGATCCGTGTCGGACTCGCGTCGGATGCACGCAACATCCGCGTCGAGTCCGCATCGAGCCCGCGTCGGGCGCAGGAAAAGACGCAAATCTTGGGGACGGGCGAGGTCCCCCGAATATGTAACGTAAGCAAGGGACAGGGAGGAAGGAGGGAGGCGGAGCCAGTCAGCCAAGGCTCAACCGACAGACCCGTGGGCTGGAAGACGTGGGCACAAGCATGAAGGAGGAGGGCGTTCGAGGCAGACTGGATCTTCGCCCCCCCCCAAGAGCTCCAAGGAAGAGGGAACACCACCCGACCTTCGCAATAGAAGTGGACCTGAGACATACTCAGCTGGCCCGATGCGCAACGCGCAACGCGTAGCGTAGTGATACGGAGCTCAACACGTACACCCTGCGAAATGCTTAAGAAATCATGGGTTAAGAAATTCATAGTCTCAGAATTTGAGTAAAAACTCCAAATTTCTACCAAACGAAACATTAAGAATAATCGAGACTCTGGCCGAAAAATTTAGTTTTCTTAAGCATCGCCTAAGGTGTAGGCTGAAAACGTAGGTCCGACGTGATACACTCGCCAAAACGTGGTCCAATACGTGGAGCAACACGCAGCGTATTGACACGGACGTCTTGAACACGGGACGTATGGCGTATCAAAACGGGCGTATCGAGGCAGCTATGAACACATACTGTCACGCTCTTTCTTGTCGCAGGCTCACATGTGGCGAGGGCGCCGCACCGAATTGCCTGGGAGGCGAACCGTTGAAAGCGAACATAGTTCTCTTGGCGCGGCCCCTCTGGTGGACGATCGATGCACACTTGCTCCTTTCTAAGGCTCAGGGCGATAACTTACGAGAGGCAAGCCCATCTAAAACGATGTCGACACGCCACCTGGATCCGGAGGCGCGCTTGTCTCCCGCCTCCTGCTCGGGAAGCCGGCGCGCAGATGCACGCGACAGCTTCCTGCGGAGAGCGGGAGGAGTGAGCGCCGTGGACCGCGAGGTGTCCTCGATGCACGATCGAGATTAGACACGGGGCTGGGGCAGCAACGGCTCGCTGGCGAGAACCTCCTCCTTGCACTGCTCTATTTGGCGATGGCGTCGTCAACAGCTGCCAAACGGAACAAACGAAGGGACATCCAGGAAAGTGGGAGTATTGGGACCTGGGGGTCCACAGACACATACTTGCCACAGGCGGTGGGCGCATGTTGGGCAGCGGTTATACTGTCGAGCTGTGCTCCGGGAGAGGGTCCCTGGGGCGTCCCCGAGGCCCGAGAGAGGGAGAGAGTGTGTCTGTATATGCGTTATGGCCAACGCTGAGGCGAGAGCACGACTCCTGGGTGAACTGTGAGGAGGTTTTTTCTGGAGCGTAATGTTTGAGCAAGTTGCAAGGAATCTCTCGAGAGAGCGCGGCGAGGAGGGAAGTTGTTGATGCGACGCGCGGATTCGCGAGGTGCGTGCTAGATGTGAGGAGGGGAGAAGGAGGGGGGATGCGGGAGGAGAGAGGGAACGATGAGGGAGGAGGAAGGGATCAGGGAATAGAAGGGAGGCGTGGCCCGACCCAAGCTAGCAACTTATAGAGAGCCATAACCACGCGCGCTTCGGTTCTAGCAAGCACCCGCCTTCGACAACGGCACCACTCTGCATGTGCACGAATCTACGCACGGCGCATCAGTACCAACGACGGACGCCCAGGGAAACAACAGGTTACTGGGGGGCTGGGAATTCTGTAAAAATGGGCCGCCCCTGGGCCCGGGGGCCTGGTCGCCGGCTATATGATGTAAGATCGAGAAACGGCGAGGTGAGGAGGGCAGAAAGAGGAGGGGTGATGCGGGGAGGAGAGAGGGAGTGCTGAAGAGGAGGAAGGGAGGAGGATATAGGACGGAGGCGTGGCCAACCCCAAACGCAACTCTGGGGTCCAGGGCCTTGCGAAACATTCAACAGATGGGGCAATCGCCTGCGTGAAATGGTTTCAACGGTCGCCTCTCTAGGTTGCAACCGTTTGGCTGGATTCGATACAAAAAAACGTTTGCAAGTGTGCCAGCATGTCCATCGCCACGTGGTACATGTTCGTATTTTGTTTCATGCGAGCGCGTGTGTTCCAGCCTTGTGAGTTGGCAAATCATTGACTCAGCGCGTTTACATGCACCCCAACGACCGCCCAATGTTCTCCCATCCATATTGCAAACAAAAAAACCTTCAGTCTTCTTCAGACTATCCTCATCATCCTTCCCTCTCCCTCCTCCTTCCGCTACTTCTCGCCCTTCTCCGCCTCCTCATCCTTTCTCCTCTCGTCATCTCCCCTCACTCCTCGTCCTCCTCCCCATCCTGGCTTTTGGAATGAATAGGGAACCATGTAGGAATCACTCAGGAGCTATCCAGGATAAGATGGGGCCCAGTTGCAGGCAATTCAGGATTTTCAACCACCAAGAGCCTGCTAAGAGGAGCCTGGAGGGCCCTGAGGCTGCGCTGAGGAGGAGGAGGAGGAGAAGGAGGAGGAGGAGGAGGAGGAGGAGGAAGAAGAACTAATGACCAAGCTTCAAGGTCTGCGAGCGGGCGGCCATCGAAGAGGAGAACCCCGGGTGCGTCGTGGCCAAGGCGAGGAACTACCGATGGGGGACACCCACTGCCTGGGGCGCATGGGAGAAGGAGGATGGAGAGAGAAGGAGGACGTAGGAGGAGGAGGAGGAGGAGGAGGAGGAGGAGGAGGAGGAGGAGGAGGAGGAGGAGGAGGAGGAGGAGGAGGATGGAGAGAGAGGGAGGGGTCGGATCGTATCGGCAGAGGGGAAGCGTCGAGCACCGCCGCGCCATCGGAGGCCCCAGCGACCGGGGCCACCAGGACGAAGCACCGTGCTCAAAGAGTGGCTCTGGCAGCGTGTACATGCCGCCCTGCCTGGCCGCGGAACAAAAAAAAGCACCGCGGCCCCAAGCACCCAGAAGGAGGAGGGAGGCGGGAGGGAGGAGGAGGGAGGGCGAGAGGGTGGGAGGAGGAGGAGGAGCAGGAGGAAGAGGAGGAGCAGGAGGAGGAGGAGAAGGAGGAGGAGGAAGACTGCCTCCCTCGTCCTCCTCCGACTTCTTACGCTGCAGAACACAATATCGCAGCAACTCACGAGCAGAGCCTCGGGCACCATCTCTCCGCACCATTTTTCCAACTGGGGCGCCCTGAGAAGAGGCCCCGGGGCCCGAACTCGGGCGAAAGCCCCTGCTGTGAAAAGAAGCAGCGCCAGGATATCAGGGTCCTCCGTCATCCTTCGCGTCCCCGTCACGACCTCCGTCCTCCTACGCCTCCCCAGGCCTCGTCCTCCTCTTCCTCCTGCTTCTTCTTCTCCTCCTCCTCCTCCTCCTCCTCCTCCTCCTGCCTCGTCATCCTCCTGCTTCTCCCCCGACCTCCTCCGCGTCATGCTCCGTCCTCCTCCTCCGTCCTCCTCCTCCTCCTCCTCCTCCTCCTCCATCTTTCTCCTCTTCCTTCACCTCCTGCTCCTTCTCCTCCTCCTCCTCCTCCTCCTCCTCCTCCTCCTCCCTCCTCCTCCCTCCTTCCTCTTCCCTCCTCCCTCCTCCCTCCTCCTCCTCCTCCTCCTCCTCCTCATGTATCTCCTCCGCCACTCGCCGCCCCCTC